GCCTTGACCACTGGACCAGCTGTCCTCCTGGTCTATCAGCCCTGGGCCTTGACCACTGGACCAACTGTCCTCTTGGTGTAACAGCCCTGGGCCTTGACCACTGGACCAGCTGTCCTCCTGGTGTGTGGTCAGCACTTCACCAGATCATGAGTGTGCGTCTCGGTGGTCTGTTATTGGCTCCAGGGGTCCCCCTGTGAAGAAACCCGCTCAGCCATCACATAGCTTCCATCTGCTCCAGTTCCACTTCCTCTCCTACTGTCCCAGTCTTCAGTCTCTGGAGGAATCCTGTTCAGGAGGGACAGAACAGGAATATTCTGCTCTAAGCCTCCACAGCGAAGTCTCCATGACAGAACTAGACATTTCAGTGTCCTGGCCTGGAGCACCAGGACACACGTGCTCCTCACGGTGGAAGATTCCTGTCCCAGGTCTGCTCCGACACCTGCTGGTGCACAATACCCAGCTCAGCCCTTCCACACCTGGACCCCAACACAGCCACACTCAGCCGCTTGGCCTCAGAGCCTCAGGAGCCCTCTGTGAACCCCTGGGTGCCTCTGGCTCTCTGCAGGTCTCTGCTCCAGTCCCACCATGTCCAACCTCGAAGGCGCCATGGGCCTGATGATCCAGACCTTCCACAAGTACTCTGGGAAGGAGGGGGACAAGTACACCCTGAGCAAGGCGGAGCTCAAGGACCTGCTGACGAACGAGCTGGGGAACTACCTGGGGGTGAGTGCGCACGCTCTCTCGCACACACACTGCACACTCTCACACACGCTGCACACTCGCCCCTGCACACTCGCACAGCTGCACACATCCTCACATACACTCACACTCTCGCACACACACTGCACACTGACATACTGCACAGTCGCCTGCTGCACACATACAGAGACTCCCACACACACTGCATTCGCACAGCTGCACACTTTCACACACACTGTACACACTCACATACTGCACACTGCACACACTCTCACACACACTGCACACACTCACATACTGCACACTGCACACACTCTCACACAC